GTTCGGCGTTATAAGAACGATGTCGTCAGCAAAACGAAGGTGGTGTAGTTGCCGGCCGTCGACCTTCACTCCCATGTCTTCCCATTCCAGTTGACGCATGACGTTCTCGAGAGCGGCGCTGAAGAGTTTGGGCGAGATGGTGTCGCCCTGTCGGACCCCTCTCTTGACGTCGATGATGACCTCCTTGTAGAATGGTGAGATTCTGGTCGTAAAGTTGCTGTAGAGCTCACGAAGAATCTTGATGTACTGAGTAGGGACGCCCTGGTTGCCCAAGGCTTCGATGACCGCTTCTGTCTCCACAGAGTCGAAGGCCTTCTTCAAGTCGATGAACGTGAGACAAAGCGGCATCTTGTACTCTCGTGAAACTTCAATGAGTCTTGTAACCGTGTGGATATGGTCGATCGTGCTGAACCCTCTTCGAAACCCTGCTTGCTCGCATGGCTGTCCTTCATCCAGTATTCTGCCGATCCTGTTAAGGATGACTCGAGTGAATAGCTTGTAGATTACAGACAGCAGGCAGATTGGGCGATAGTTGCCAATGTCGTCCAGGTCTCCCTTCTTGTACAGCAACACGGTCCTGCTGGTTTTCCACGGAGTGGGTACCTTGCATTCCGACAGGTAGCGCGTGAAGAGTCGAGCCAGAGTTTGATGATGACTGGCGGCGCATTCTTCAGATGTTCCGGTTTGACCCTGTCGAGACCGGGTGCTGTACGATTCTTCACCGACTTGATGGCGTGTCGGACTTCGGAAGAGAGTACTGAGGGGACGACGTATCCATCCTGTTGCAGTTGATAAGTGGGCAGATGGACATGGCTATCGAAGAAGATCGTTTGGACGTGTAGCTGGCCAAATGCTTCGCGGCATTGCAGAGATGCTCCTCCGCAGCCTCTGTTCTGCTTCAGCGGAATACTGTCTGTCTTTAGCCCTCACTTAAGATCCCGTTGAATGCACTCTCGCATAGTTTCGCCAAGCTGAACTGGCGAGTTACCATGGATGGTGTTGGTCGACATGATAAACTCAGACAGTCTTTCGCCCTGCTCATTCCAATCCATTCCGTGAGTACCGATGTGAAGTTCTTCAGCCGTTCTTCTCGGGCCAATCTTGGCGTTGAAGTCGCCGACGATGACCTTGAAGAAGGTATGATCTTCCTTGTAGAACTTCTCCAATTCCATATAAAAGTGTCCTCCTCGTCGGTCGTAGTTAGATGTTCGTGGTCCTCCTCGTCAAATGCTAGATGTTTGGTGCGCTAGGCGACGAAGAAACACGCCCGCTAAATGCCTTTTTTTTTTTTTTTTCATACTGGGAGAAGTAAGGAACATGTTCTGTGGAACTGCTGTCGCATGTTCCAAGGAACAGTTCTTCTCCAGTATCGAAAACGGCGTGTAGCGGGCGGTGCCTTCTCGTCTCGGTCAGTCCGATGACGTCGTACTTGATCTTCCTGGCTTGCATCATCAGGTCTTCGATGTGAGCTTCGGATGCAAGCCTTGCGTTGAAAGTACAGATCGCCATCTTAGTCCTTCTTCTTTAGGCAGCCTATCCGGGCCCTGAGATTCTAGCAGCCTCTCCCGAGCGGTCCTACCCAACGCTGCCGTATTGGGGGCTCCCTCAGGTTCAGGGGAATGAGGCCCATCCATATTGCTGTTTTCGGCATATTGAAGGCACACGAGTAGCTTGCCAGGCTCTGTCGTGCGGGCTAGGATAGACCTCCAGGTAGTTAGCCACGCTATCCTGGAGCGGAACAAGGGGGCTTATTTTTTTGGAGGCGGCCCCGAATCGCCTCCCATGTACTTCCCAGTCACTTGAATGCAAGCTTTTGGCTGTGCCGACATGCAGGATACCAACCGCACACACACAGAGCGCACCACACACGCAAGCATGCATGGATACGCCTGTATGGAGAAGCTGGTATGAATCGACACAGCACTACAGAAACAGGGAGTCCATCCCCTGAATCCACCTGCGTCTCAGGCACAAGTACAGATCATCATCTCGAAGTATGATTGCGTGCCAGCCCGCCGACAGGACGCCTGCGCGGCACCACACTTGATAGGAGTAGCGGCGATAAAGCTAGTCCAACACGCTTCATTGATTATCTGGCGAGCATATTTATCCGCACAATATCGGCCAAGCTCGCCCCGCCCTCCCCCTCCCGCGCTGCCACTCATTTCCGTGACACGCGCAATCCGACTTCGAATCCGACTGTAATTGGTGCGTTTTTGACGTCCCGCGACTTTACCCCCTCACTCCGCACCCTCTCGGGGTCGCGCACCGCTAGCCCTCGACCACAAGCGCGCTAAGACGACAGATCTTCATGAGAGCGGACCTCGGTGAGAACCGAGACTCCGTGCGATCATAGTGATCCAGAGCATGGGAAACGGTCGGACAAGATCTCACAACGGCCAGATTAACGCCATAAAAAGCAACACATTTAAAATTACCGTTCAAGCACCTGGATACACGAAAGGAGGAAGAAACCATAAAAATCGGTCTAGAACCCTAGGACCCCTTCTTTGCCCGTTGTTTTGAGCAACGCTACGGCTCTCATCGTTGTGGTCTCTTCAACTTAAAAGCTCTCTCTGCTATCTGATCACTTGCTCGTACAGAATTGCGGCGAGGCGAGAGATAGGATAGGTCGGCGTACCCGCGCAACTCGAAGGGGACGTGAGCCATGCTGGATCGCCAAGGTCAAGTCATTCGCTGCCGATAGCGTGTCAGTCTGCACCCTTAGGAGGTCCTCCTGTCTCCCACTAGGCACTTTACCCCTCCTTCGACCTTCGTTCTTATCGTGGAACACCCCCTTCAATGGCTAGCACACGACTTACCCCCGGTATCTGGTTAGGAGCCGTATCGGTCATTCTGAGTGAAGCCGTACCCCGGCCGGGAGGAACCCAATGATTGAGTTTGTAACAATATAAACCCTTAATAATAAATAACCACACTGTTTGGAAGAATTAGACGGGCAAACTTGGAAATTGGAATGAGATTGTAATACTTGCTGTAATTGCACGTTAGTACGCATTGCGTTCACAGGCTTGTTTTGCACTAACTCTATAACGCTTTCCCTATTTCCATGCGTACAAGGCGACCGCTAAGCACCACAAATTATGCAACACAACATAACACTAAACTTTAACGGTTCTTCCACCCGGTACTTCTCCGCTCTGGGGCATTTACTGCAGTCACCCTCAAAATCGATGCTGACACCTTCCCTCGACAAGCATGCCCCAAAGACAAACACGCTCACGAGGCCGAGTAGCGCGCTGAGACAATTATGCCCCCCGGCGCCGTTTCAGCATACTAACGTAAAGGCTTCGAAAAAGGAGGTGGCTTGAGTCTGGAAGAAAGTTCATAAGTTTTCAGGACAAAAGAATTAGTGATTTATAGGGTATTGTGTGAGTATTTGCTTACGCACACATAACTAAGCGGAATGACTTTTCGCCCTAGTTCCGCACCATTTCTGCCTAGACTAATACTCTGGTGCGCAGTTCTACCGTCAGTACCTCGATCACGGAAAAGTACGCCATCGCGGAAGAAGCTATTATATCGTCTCTGCCGTCGCAGTCTGTCGCAGCAACGTATCTCCGCATAGCCCGACGAGCAGCTCTTACTGATAAGAGGCGCAACGATGAGGAGCGTGGCGTTGGCTCCAAAACAACGGGCAAAGAAGGGGCGAAAGTTTTAGACATTTTTATGGGTTTTCGTTTTCGTGTTCCTCTTAACTTATTGTATTGTTACTTTTCATGTATTCTGTTTGAGAATTTCGGCGGGTGTTCCGCATTGATCCTCAATCACCGGATTCTTTCCCGAGCGGTACTTCTAATGAAGATCATCTAGGCGCTTTTTGGCTGCGGGGGACGCCGGGGGCGGACAGTTGGCCTTCAGCGGTGTAATCGGCGGAGCCAAAATCACCATGTACCAGTTCATTTCGAAGTCTTTGATTGGCGTTGGCACCGAAATGACAGTGGCGCACCCGCAGGGTTGAGGATAGTGGGGTGCGGGGTACAAGGATCCGCCGGCGCTCCCAGAAGCGGTTGAACCAAGCTCTCCGGCAATCATAGCGAGGTTGGTGGGTCTGTCCCTAAATCCCCGTGGCCACTTCGATATACATTTTGCCGCCCTTTTAATACCTTACCACATTTACCACGTAACATAGTTAATATCACTTGATAAATAAATACAAGAAATTTGTAAAATTGGAAATATACGTACGGTGTAGTAGGAGAATGGAAAATTATCTGCCTCAAAGCAAGCAACGGCGAGACTAAACAAGCGCCGGCCACGCACGACGCCAAGCGAAAAACGCCACTGTACGCAATGAGTTGATTTTCTTTGTCAATCATGTGACAACGAGCCTCATTTCATTCCTTAATGCAGGAATTACGCCGAAGTTTTCGTACTGTGCACCGGTACTACGCCAGCTGCACCAACTTGCGCTTGTTGATGCATCAGCACATGATGCTTACCTACAGCTGTGAGCTGTCACAAACTGTAGCTAGCTGTCAATCACTTTCTCAAGTCAATTTGCCCACCACTGCTTCATGCTACTACATTTACCGTCGACTATAGGCGCTAGTGTTCATTTATTTTCACTTTTAGCTATTCCTTTGACTGATTCCAAGTAAGTAGAGGCGAGGCCGAAAAAAGTGCAGCTTCCGAAGAGATGACAAAGGACGCGACCTGAACACAATGTGCACGGCAAGCCACTGCATTAAAAAAAACATGGCGATTGTGGTGAGGCCCCCTAAGTCAAGAAGGAAAGGGGAAGAGTATATATGTTGGGTGATAACATGGTTGAATTTTTGACGGATTGAAGCATTATGAAAACCATCAAGCGCACTGAAATGTCGCTCTCTTCTGACCAGCACTCGCTTAGAGTGTCATATATTACTTCTACACAATATGCTAAACTGGAAAGACAGAAAAAGCTTTCGACCAACAAAACTCATAGCAATACTGTAGCCGCTACGAGCATCACACCAAAATAAAGAAAGATATCACCTTAAAATTCGGAGATAATCTTCTTGAATCCGTTGCACAGCATTACCAACAAAGGCTACACGTCTCTTCTCGATATCTCTTATGCCACCAAAATAATCGATCACGTTTCCATCCAGATCTGAGAGGAATTAACTTGTCGTATATGACGACATAAATAAGACAATTCCATACGGACAGCCTAAGAAAATGTTAATTTGGCTTTGTAAAACCCAAAGAAAACTGAAACATGAGCACAGACAAATTACTGCATATAGGAAACTTAAATGGCGTGGGATCAACTAGAGGGTCCATGGAAAATACCTTGATATCACCCCCCTTCTGTGATTATCGTTTTCTCCCAGGATAAAACAAAATTAGAGGAACGTCGAATTTCGTTGCTGAGCTAGTACTATATTTCCTGTTCCAGTGTGGTCAGGCTCGCAGTCATCTAGCGCGTCCTCAGGTTGTGGATAGAGGAATGTCAGTCCGCCGTGGCGGTTGGCTCCGAATATACAGGGGGGGGGGGGCAAAAAAAAAAGACATTTTGCCTATGTCGGACTTCGGCTCTTTTTTCTTCGCAGAGATTGCCGGCGTTGACGGGAGTTCCTCAGCAGAGTATTCCCTAAGTGTCCCTCTATAAGTGAACGCAGGCCCTCCTTCACTGCCCTCACCGTCTTCAGAATATGACGTCATCTGTCACCGTCGTCAGGCTCAAGGAGGTCTACTGTAAGTGCTTCAGCCTGAAGCTCTTACGCAATTTCGTGAATCGATTTAATGTTGGATACTTTTCTAGAGGCGTTAGCTCCCACTATACAAATCCCCTCGAAACGAGCTTTCCAGTAAAGGTCGTTATGGTACACGATCCTTCGAAGACCCCATTGAGCTCGACCAGTGCACCATGTTTCCAGGGCAAATTCTTCTGTTGCCGTCCACGTGGGTGGCCAACATGAAGATTTCTTATAGAATGAAATGTGCTTTCAATTAATTGGGAAGCATCGGTCTCAATTGAGCAAAGAAGTGCTAATCTCCATTTGAAAAGTGGAGAAAAATGTTTTTTTTTATTGCCGCTGCCCCTGTCTAATAAGCGGCCGTGAAACAATAGATGCGAAAAAATGCATCTACATTAATAGGGCTGCCAACGCGAAGTGACTGCTGCAAAAAAATTGGCAAAACTTCGAAAAGGAATGATTTGGACCCGAGATGGGCGTACGAAGATGCCCCGACTTTGCACAACAAGCCCACACCTAGATGAAAGGCAGGGACGGAAAAAGGACTACGGACGGCTCAGTGAACACATAATGCCCAACGTACCACATCGCAGAACTCTCCCTCTAGCCTGTATCGAACAGCTGGGGAGACTAAAACCGCCTGCGCATAATTGAACTGGAATGCACCCGGTTTATCACGACGTCAGACTTGAAGAAATTCTGCTAGAAGAAGAAGGTAGCAATGTCCAGGACAGGTGGAGTCGGCTTATCATAAAGCAAGGATAGTCCCGTACATTATTTCAAATAAAACATCGTCAAATAAAAATCTGCAAGGGCGTTCGAAAAGGTGATACGATTGCGCCGAATTTATTTGCATTAACTCTGAAAGCCTTGTTCAGCCAATCATGATTGGACGAATGGTATGGAGATCAATGGAGAACGGCCTGACTCATCTGCTGTTTGCCGATGACTGCGTATTGCACAATGATGCTCTTGATTCCAAACAGAATAACTTGTGCAGCCGCAGAAGAATCAGAGTGAAAATGGACTTGAAAAGGACTTGTCAAAAACTAAATGGATGCACAATTAGTTCAGTCCTACAACCGAGTTATAGGAAGTGATCACGCTGGTTTCCTCGCTGCACTCACCGTTATCACCCAATAAGGTCGGAGATAGACAGATCGGACGAGCATAACCATTGGTAGATAAAATACGATTAGATAAGAAGATGCGGCTGCATTCTAGCTTGAAAATCGAACGGTGGTATATATCCGTATATATCTAGCACGCTGTTGCATCCCCTTCCACGTCTGATGAGGAGGTGCAACGCCGAACCGGAAGTGGGTTTCGGCGCCTTATCACGCCGTTGATAAGGCGCCACTGCCCTGAAGCGTCACCTGTCGTCCCATTGGGTAGGACCCCTACCCAATCCACTATGTCACTTTCCCTATCGTCTCCATAGAATTTCCGTGACCACTTCCTTAAGTACCTTAGGCACTAGCTCAGCTTCACTGGAGACACTAGCGAGGAGTACAGTAAACGTAGGAAAGCAGCTTGGTCTAGCTTCAACAAAATGTCAACGGTATTGCTAGATCTAGCTTCAACAAAATGTCGACGGTATTGCTAGACGATAACCTCCCGATGAAACTGAAGGCATCTTTGTTTCACTCAACGGTGATACCTGCGTTGCTGTACGGCGCGGAATGCTGGTCGCCCACTAAAGCAGACGAAGAGAAATTTGCTGTGATGCAGAGGTCAATGGAACGCAGAATTTGCAAAGTGTCACTTCGTGAACATATCACAAACACAGAGTTGCGAAGAAGAAGTGGCCTTGTTGATGTTGTCCAGGAAATGTATAATCGTAAACGAGATTGGGCCGGTCATGTGGCACGTTTAAAAGACCACAGATGGAACTTCCCGGCTTATGAGTTGGATCCCGCTGGATCACAAGCGTTGGGTAGAGCACATGTGACGTAGTGGCAAGTGGCGTCGTATACCACGTGCGTAGTTACAGATGGTACCCTCCCGGCTACAGCCACGCCCACGCCAACCGGAGGCTCCATCCATGAGTGTCGAAGATAGCAGCAAGTCATTGTGTAAGCCATATCTCATATAAATTTTACTACGATTTTGAATAAAGAAGGGATGTGTGGCGCACCCCAAGGTAGACGGTGAACTCCGCAAGTCCTAACCTTTATCCTACATAATGTTTCATATTCCCAACTAGCCTACCTAATAAAGAAGAGGTTATCTAATAAATAAATATTTCTAAAGTAGACGTGGTACTATTAGCACTGCAACAGCTTACATCCCACCAACAACACGACCGTCTCCGTAGACGGAATATTTCGGTAAGTGACCAGAAAGTAAGTTTAAAAGAAGGAAATAATTGAAAAAAGTGGATTTTTCGTACCGAGGAAAAGCGAATTGATGGTTAAATCTCGTCGATTAGCATCCAGCTGCCAATCGGTCGTATACTGCACTTCAGCACGACGTCCATCGCACACCAAATCGATTCTATAATACAATGTGAAATTAAGTGCATGTCACAGTCATTGTGAAAAAAGAATTTCTGAACTAAAGATGTTCAGTAAGCTGAATAGACCTTTTTGCACCTCAACGTTGTGATCTCAAAGTTTTCCGCATCATCTATACGACATGTTATTGTACCATGCTCCTCTCCTCGCTTATGCAGCATTCGAATCTCTTCACGCTCGAACAGTTCCTAGGAGTAATAAATCAGTTAGAAGCACCTTTCCCACATCTCATCAAAACACACCTTCATTTCAGTGGGCGTTGCTGTAGTCGCAAAATCCACATCAGCAGGACGTATTCCCATCAGTAAATCACGCACAGCTCCACCAGCTATCCTATTCAGAAATTGTTGACGTACACATTACACTAACTTTGAGTATTTAGGTCTAAGTTTGGCGCCAAAAAGCAGTACATTTATCGCTGGGAAAGACAATGGCTCACTTTGCTATTCTCGTGAAAACATTTTGATCAGACCCTTTTCAGAAAGGAGCCATTTCCAATAACGTGGCGAAGATTTTACGGAATCGTTCCAAATTCCACAATACGACAACTGGTCGTATTTGCGCCTTTAGAAAGAAAGGAGGGTCGTAAATAAGCGCACCGATCAGTGGACGCAGCTATGTCCATGGAAATCATTAGATCGAAAAGTATTACATCGGCATTACTGATATTACTGTGGATTGCCAGCCCAATATTTTTTACTAATCCTTCTATTTTATAAAGCGCTAACTTTGTGTGTCGGTTTGTATGTATGTATGTATGTATGTATGTATGTGTGTCCGTCCGCAAAATGAAGTGAGTGAGAAGGAAGCTCATGGGATAAACAACCGCTAACAAATCGGGTAGCTTACAGGATTTGAGATATCAATGTTTTGTAGCAGGATAGTTGTGATAACACTCTTAGGGCTATATAAACACCTGCTTAGCACACTTCCGTTCATTCCACATGGTGCTGCAGTGGCAGCTGGAGGGCAGTGGAGGGAGGAGCATAGGATGGGGAGGGGAGGCTAAAAACTGATCACCAACAGGCCTAAGATGCAGTTAGGTATTGATATGTCATTCCACGGTCATGTCATGATGCCCTCTAATGAATGGAAAGCGGAAGACGTAAAGCAGACGCAGGAAAGGAAGGTCCCGGCGATTGACGGGGGACCAATCTGGTCTTGTAATGATGCAGGTGACCTACAAGAAGTATTAAATGCAGCGCATATTATTAGGTTGTCCCATAATTAGTGAATCACTTTACATTTATTGTTATTAAAAATCCAAGAAAAATGGTGAAGGCGTGAAACATGTTTTGCGAAGTAGCATCCACATTGTCCTACCTGAGCAATTACTCAGCCCATTTCCATGCTGCCTTCCGTGGCTGAC